TCTGTGTAATCTTAGCAGGATCTGTTTGTACCCTTCAGTAACATGCCTATAAATTAGGAGTTTAACAGTTCATTTAAAATCTCCTAAATGATGTAACATATCAGTGGAAGGATGTTCTTGTAGTTAAGAGATTACCCTGGAACTGAAAGAATTCCTGGTTCCACCATGGCCATCATTTGCAACCTTGGGCAGAGAAAGTAACCTAGTTACTGACAGATTATTTCTTTTTTTTTCATGGATGTTTAAGTCAATCATAGTTCTGAGGTTCTTAAGTAATGTGGTAGGGAAGACCATATTATTAGCGACTTGGATGAGGGGGTGAAAAGCACCCTGCTCAGATTCGCTGACAACACCAAGATTTGGGGTGAGGTGGGCACGCTAGAAGGGAGGGACAGGATACAACTGGAACTGGACAGGTTACAGGGGTGGACGAATGTGAATAGGATGCGATTCAATACTGACAAGTGCAGGGTACTGCACTTGGGCTGAAAGAACCACCAGCTTACCTATAGGCTGGGGGACTCCCTTCTTGAAAGCACAGTGGCAGAAAGAGATCTTGGAGTCATTATTGATTCTAATATGAACATAGGCCGTCAATGTGAGGACATGGTCAGCAAGGCTAACCGCACCTTGTCATGCATCCACAGATACAGCATGAGCAGGTCCAAGGAGGTGATCCTCCCCCTCTATGTGACACTGGTCAGGCCACAGTTGGAGTATTGCGTCCAGTTTTGGGCACTGTACTTTAGGAGGGATGAGGCCAGCATTGAGAGGGTCCAGAGGAGGGCCACTCACATAATCGGGGGCAGCAGGGCAGGCCCTATGAGAAGAGGCTATGGGACCTAAACCTGTTCAGCTTCCACAAGAGAAGGCTGAGAGGGGATCTAGTGGCCATCTATAAACTTACCAGGGGGGGACCAGAGGGGAATGGGTGAGACCCTGTTCCCCCAAGCACCTCCTGGAGTAACAAAGAATAATGGCCACTACTTGATTGAGAGTAGGTTTAGGCTAGACATCAGGAAGCACTACTTCACTGTCAGGGCGGCTAGGATCTGGAACCAGCTTCCAAGGGAAGTGGGGCTGGCTTTTCACCCGCGGGTCTTTAAAAGGAGGCTTGATAACTACCTAGCTGGGGTCATATGAGCTTAAACTTACCAGGGATCATATGAGCCCAGTATTCGTTCCTGCCCAGAGGGTTGGACTTGATGATCTGCTCAGGTCCCCTCCGACCCTACATCTATGAACCTATGAATCTATATCACCATTTAGATAGATAATAGGTAATCCAAGAACCTTTGCCTTTTTCTCCTGCATGATTCACTAACACACATGGGTGATCAATACTCTGGGGAGGTGTATGACTTTTTTAATATAAATGTTATTCATTAATAGAAATTGATCAGGAATCTTTTGAGCTCTGATAAAACCAGATGCAGGATCCAATGCTTGAGAAATAGAGTGGATCTGAAGCTGGTGCTGGAGTCACCAGCACACTAGGCAGGCCCTGCAGTTATGGCTGCTCCGCCCAACTCTGTGGGGGCCCCCCAAAGCGTGGGGCCTGGGGTGGTTGCGCCAATGCACCCCACCCCAGGGACAGCCCTGGGTATAGATTTGTGGGGGGCTGTGGGTATGTGGGGTGCAGGGGAGGGTATAGGTGTGTGTGTGGGGTTTGTGGGGGAAATAGAGGTGGGGGTGAGGGGGTATCTGGGTGTGTGTATATGTTGGGTGTGGGTGGGTATGGGGTTTGTGGGGAGGACTGTGTGGGAGGAGTGTGGCTGGGTTGTGTGAGGGGGTGTGGGTGTGGGGGTACACATGTATGGTGGAGTGCTTGTGGGACTTGCCCTATGAACACACACATACTCTCTCACTCTCACTCCCTCCCTCTCTGCATGTGTGCACGTGCACACACACATACTTTGTCTGTCTGTCTGTCTGTCTGTCTGTCTCTTTGTTTGTGTGTGTCTCTCTCTCTCTCTCTGTCTCTCTCTGTCTCTCATTGCACTCACACACACACACACCTCCTGCTCCTGGCCATGTGGTGCTGAAGCAGGCGTGCAGGGAAGCAGTGAAAGCGGGGGCTGGCAGAG